CAGGCCCAAATCCCTTTTCCATTGCTCCTTTTTTTTTCTTTTTTTGGAGGGGTTTTTGCTATAGGGCGTGTGCACTCACCAGAAAGACAGAGACAGAGACAGAAAGTGAGAAATCACTCCCCAGGGGAACGGCCACACCGCAATCCCTTCTTCATTCTCCTCTCGGGATCTTGGGCACGCACGCACATGAGCCCAGCGTAAGTTTAAGCCACCAGGTCTGGGACTCAAACCACAGTCGAGTACATGGGAGTCAAGTGACATAACCATTATGCTAACTGCTGGTCCCATCCATTTCTCCTTTCTATCATGATTTTAGCCACCCATGCACATGGGCCCAGCATGCGTTTTTTTTTTTTTTTTTTAAAGAATTATTTTACTTTATTTATTTATTTATTCATTTTAATTTGACCAGAGAGAGAAAGAGTGAGAGAGAGAGAGAGAGAGAAAGAAAGAAAGTGAGAAAGCAAGCCAAGACAGCCACATGGCCCAGTCGCTACCACAGCTGCCCGCAGAGCGCCCCGAACCTTCTTCCCCCAACAAAGTTCCCAAAGTGAAAAGCAGATCTATTTGGAAGAGATGCATTTAGAAGCCACCACCAGATTCTGTCCAAAGGAAAAAAGAGAAAGTGAACAAACATCTTTCAGCAACCAAAGTCCCAGGCAAGACCAGAAAGGGGGCTTTTGCAGCTTTCCACATGCTCTTTAAAAAGAAAAATGGGAACGCATCTGGTGAAGATTCCTGTGGTCCTTGGGGCTGGGTGACATCAAAGGTTTCCCATTTCTAGATTTTAGGTCCAGTGGATCAGAATACAGGAAAAAAACTAATGAGAATCCCTCAATGGATCCTTCACCCACCAAACTGACTTGCTCTTGCAAATGACCTTGACCAAGGAACAACTGTGCAAAACAAAAAAGTTGTATTGTCAAGTGGTAAGATGAGGATAAGAAGCTTGTATCTATCTCTCTCTCTATATATATATTTATACATCTATCTATATAAATCTATATGTATACATATACATATAGATACATATCTATATGTATAAATATATACATATCTACATGTATAAATCCCTGAGGAAAACTAATATAAATACGTATGTATGAAACTAAGTCAATATATAAAACATTGAAGAGATGAAGATTAATCTATGTTTAAGACCTTGCCTTTTTGAACCTCAACACGTGGAAAAAGGAAAATGAAGATTTTTTACATTATTACAGAAGAACACCATACATCTGGAGGAAAAGAAACATCTATAAGAACAACAACAACAGGGATCAGCAGTTAGCGTAATGGCTATGTCACTGGACTCCCATGTAGTCGACTGTGGTTTGAGTCCCGGACGCGGTGGCTTAAACTCATGCAGAGCGTATGTGCGTGCATGCCCAAGATCCCGAGAGGAGAATGGAGAAGGGATTGCGGCGTGGCCATCCCTCCTGGGGGAAAAAGAACAGCAACAAAAAAGCAAGCTGCCAGTTCTGGGATTCAAACTACGTTGGCCATGTGGGAGTATAGTGTCTTTAACCACCATGCCACCTGCCAGCCCCCCAGCATGTTTTCTTCAAACCTCCAGGGTCAAATTTTGAACCCATTTGCCATGTAGAATTTGAGTCACTATGTAGTTACTATGTACAGGGCTTAAGTGAGCTGACCCTCCAGTATTTTTTAAATCCCAGAGACTCCAGGAGACCCCAGGTCCCAGCAGAGTTGTTGAGTCCTCCCAGTAGTGCCTCACTGTAGGCAAGGTTTTACTAAGGTGCAGAGAACAAGTTTGAGTGAAAACTGAATGATAAAGATGCAGGGATAAATGTCTCCTCCAGACAAGTGTATAATGTTAAAATGTTAGATTCCCATGCCCAGAGGGAACTAATGCAGGTATGGTTTCTGTCCAGAGGATGAACTGTTGATAGAGGCAGAGTAGATTGATTGATTGGTTGATTAATCTGTTCAGATGGATCTCAGAGTGGATTTCTCCCCTTGAATGCCTGGTTTTGGTTCAGTCATTGTTCGAGCTTCAGCAGCATTTACCTTCTCCAAGTTTGGGATTCCCATCCCTCACTAACCAAATCCGTTTTCTCTTTGGCCTGGGAAAAGAACCAGACTGCTTTCCCAAAGTTTCTTCTACCCTAACCCTAAGGCACTTTGAGAGAGAAGAGAATTAAACAGTTTGCTCATGTTACTCTTGCCTACGACTGGGCAGCCTGGCCAATTTCTAGCCTTCTTTCATCTCTCCACTTGGCTGGAGTAAAATTTCCTGAATGTCTGTTCTATTGCAGGAGGAAGAGGGGACCCAAACAGCTGGTTCCTAGCCATATTCCAAGATTCTTAAAGCTGGAGGGGGCAACTTCATCCTTTGAAGCCCATTCTCTAGCCCTCTTAGTCCTACTGGCAATTCTGATTTCTTTGATCTTTTTTTCATCATTGGGCACTTTTCATAAGTTGGCCACCTGTTTTGTTTTTCAAAGCTTAGTGAGTCAATGAAACTAGCAGTAGGCTGGAAGTCAGGACTACAGGGTTTTCGTCTTGGCTCTAGCATTAGAAAGAGGCATAACTTTAGGCAAATCCATTCCTTTTCTTTGTTTTTCTTTTTCTTTTTTTTTTTTTGTCTCTAATTTAGTTTTTGGTAAAACAAGGAGAGTGAGCCAGATCAGTGGTTTGAGTTTGTTTTCTCTTTCTTTTCTTTCTTTCTTTTTTCTTTCTTTCTCTCTCTCTCTCTCCCTCCCTCCCTTCCTTTGCCTTCCTTCCTTCCTTCTTTCCTTCCTTCCTTCCTTCCTTCCTTCCTTCCTTTTTTTAAAGGAAACAACCCCTGTGGAACCCTGTGGAGGATAGTCACCCTATGACCCCTTCTCTGTTTCTCCTTTAGAGATACTGGGAATGCATGCACATGTGCACAGTGTGTTTCTCAGACCAACCACACTAACAGTCAGCCATGTGGGATCCAGCTGTCTTAACCTCAGCATTACTGGCTGGCCTGGTTTGAGTTCATTTAACAGAATAACTCTTTCTTTAAATAAACCCTAACTTGCAGAATCCCACTATGTAAAGCAGAAAGGCAATGAAGAGGTTTCTCAGTCAGTTCTTATTTTGTTGTAAGAGAACATATCTACTCAAGCCCTAAGGCCTAAAACATTTGCTAAGGCCATAAGGTTTCCAGCTCCTCACGGTTTGACTTCTGAGATTCCTAGTCCCTATCAGCAATAGTTAAATCAAACAAAATTATATCAAAAAAGTCTGGGGAGGGACCAGCATTTAGCATAATGGCTATCTCGCTGGACTCTCATGTAGTCGACCGCAGGTCGAGTCCCGGACCTGGCGGCTTAAACTCATGCCGGGTGTGTGTGCGTGCATGCCCAAGATCCTGAAAGGAGAATGGAGAAGGGATTGAGGCGTGGCCATCCCTCCTGGGGGGTGATTTCTTACTTTCTGTCTCTCTGTCTTTCTGGCGAGCGCACACGTCCTATAACAAAAACAAACAAACAAAAAAGTCTGGGGACTGAATATCTATATACCTACATATCTATATCTATATCTATATCTATATCTATATCTATATCTATATCTATATCTATATCTATATCTATATCTATATCTATATCTATCTATCTATCTATCTATCTATATATAAATACACACACACACATATATATAGTTATATAGTTATTTGCTCCATTCTCTGCTTCTCAGAACACATGCTGTCCTATGTCAAAGTCCTTATCACTTTTTTTTTTGGAGAGGTTTTTGCTATAGGGTGCGTGTGCTCGCCAGACAGACAGAGACAGAGAGACAGAAAGCAAGAAATCACCCCCCAGAGGGGGCATTACGCTAACTGCTGGTCCCCTTATCACTTTTTTAAAAAATAGATTTTTGCTATAGGGCACCTGTTTGTCTCTCCCACTTGATAAAGAAAAGATCATGTTTCACTCATTTCAATGGTCCCAAACCTGGTGCAGTGATTAGCTCAGAGTAGGAACTCAACATATGTTGACTGAATAATGTTTATGTATTAAATTAAGGTACTCATTTTCCTGGCTTAGTGGGTTTATGATAAGAAAACAACTTAAGAAGAACACTCTTCCATTGCAGCTGAGAACTAGTGCTTTCAGGGTATAAAAGAAATGAAGATTGTCTACTGATAATTCAGCCTCCAGCCCCTAGTCTTTTTTTTTTTTTCAGCCCCTAGTCTTGAGTAGAGAGGAAAGGGGCAGGACTTCAGAAAAAGACTCCTCCATTGTAGCTGATAACTAGTGCATTCAGGGAATAAGAGAAATGAAGATTATCTACTGATAATTCAGCCTCCAGCCCTCAGTCTCGCGTGGTAGGGTGCCCCCTGTATCTTTCTCTCTGTCTTCTATTTTTTTTTTGGTAATTTTTCTTTACACAAATATTTTTAAAAATTTTACTGCTGGAATATTTTTGGTTTAACTTTAAAAAAAATTGAACTTTACTTATTTACTTTAATTTGACCAGAGAGGGATACAGTGAGAGGGAAAGTAAGCCTCCAGGTCCAGGTCTTGAACCTCAGTCTACCATGTGGAAGTCCAGTGACCTTGACCACCACACCATCTGCCAGGCCCCTCTTTTAAAAAAATTTTTAAGGTAAAGTACTCTCTTGGCTTTCAGATCCTCCTTTGTC